TGTTCGTTATTCCAAATCTCGGATGTCAGGATGCTGACTGGACTAGTGTATCAACAAATGATTCAGTAGCTCTAGTAGGACGTGGAAATTGTACCTATACAGAGAAAGCTGCATTCGCAGAAAAGTATCGAGTGAAAGGTTTATTAATACACAACAGTGAAATAGCAGCAGACAATGCCCGACCAATTCAAGGTTTGACAACAATAATCAATAGCACTATTCCAACGTTTTTTCTCTCGTATAATCTGGGAAAACACCTTGCTAATGCAACAGCGAATGTGGCAGATGTTGGTATGAAAATGAGTATTGACGTAGCTGATGCAGAAGGTGTCAGGAATATTTGTGCGGATACACCATCAGGTGATAAAACAAAAACTATTTTGATTGGTGCACATAGTGATAGTGTAATGGCAGGCAGTGGAATCGACGATAATGGTAAGGATGTATTGGAAAATGAATAAATTCACTGTTTTTCAGTTATTTAATTTCAGGTAGTGGCACAGTGGGAATCTTGGTATTAGCTCTGAGTTTGGCTCGCTTGTTTCAGAAATCACCTGATACTTATCCTAAGTATCTACATCGTATCCGATTTTGCTGGTGGGGCGCCGAAGAAGTTGGTCTTCTTGGTTCCAAATATCATGTAGAGCAACTTCTTTCCAGTGACAATAATAAAGAAGGCGAACGTTTCCAAGATTATTTATTAAATTTGAATTATGATATGATAGCTGGTCCAAATTACCTTTTTGGTATCTATGACGGCGAAACTGTACCGACAAATACGCCTCCATCAGCTCGGCGTGGTACTAATAGAATATCCAATCTCTTTCAACAATGGTTTATTCAACGGAAGTTGCCATGGACCAGAATAGAATTTGGAGGCGGAAGTGATTATGCACCGTTTTTGGCTAAAGGTTTACCAGTAGGCGGAATCCATACAGGAACTAGCGAAATAAAAACGCCTTCTGAACGAGATGAATATGCTGCCATGTTAGGTACAGGAAATGGCGGTATCGCAAATGCTGCTTTAGATCCGTGTTATCATCTACAATGTGATAGAATCAGTAATATTGACACGTTTGCCTATGAGACTGTAGTAAAAGCAGCTGCTTATGCTATCGAGTATCTTGGTCGAATGAATAATCTAGAAAAATGGCTCTATCCAGACGGACGAGTCTGAATTCATCCATACAAAATAATATCTATGGACATTGATTAATAAATACATTTCATTATCTTACTACTTCACAGATGATATCGAAAATAAAATACATTAATGATTATTTTTATGCGAGTTATGAATAGCTTCATGATGATTCTTTTTCATAAAAATTCTTTTTATTATTGTATCTGTGCCTCTTAGCGGTGTTTTACCATCTACTAAAACATTAATTGTCCTAATCTAGCTAGCATCACTGTTATTATTATAAGTGAATTCAGTAGAAAGAAACTAAAGTATTAAATGTTTATTTGTGTTCTTTAGATAGGCTTCGTATTTAGAAGAGGTTTTATACGGCCATACGATTCAAAGTAATTAAGCATGAGATTTCAGATCTACTATTTAATATATTTTTCCAGAAAAAGTTGAATCGAATTAGTCTATATAAATTGACACTCATAAGTTTAGTCACCTTGTTAATTGCTTGATGAATCATTTAACAGAATAGATAGATACCTTTATCCCGTGAGTAACCTAACAGTATTCAGTCATCTGGAAAATAAATATAGAAATAATATACTCATAAAAGATAAAAATGCATTATCGGTACACTATTTTTCTTTATAGGTAGAACGCGTACGCTTTATGTTGATCATACGTGGCAACTAAAAATCCGTACTCCTGTTGGATACAGAAACAAATCAGGTGTTTATTATAGTAGTGTCACTGAGAGAAAAAAAGGTGCCGTACGGAACTATTTTGTTTCAAAAATCGAAACCCTTAGAATGGTTCTGTAAGAACTCAAGTCATCTTCAAAACGATTGTTGGTGGTCAAGGTATCTTTTTTGGCGATTGCATATGTCTTCTACGAAACTCCGAAAAGGTTTAGAGTTCGTTTCAACAATCAAACCATTTTTAGATTTCGTGAAATGTACGAAACTATTTTTTAGTTTCGTAGAGAGTACGAAATCCTTTTATACACCACGAAACCACCCACGTAAGCACAAAACACAGTACTCGTGCGTTTGAACGTGGTTTGTCTTATAAAATGTGTCTAGGCGCACTGAAAAACAAAAATCTGATGCACCTAGACGCGTTTTGTATGAATCTCACAGGAACGAGGTAGTAACAAAATTTTAAACGTGGCTCTACGCGTCTTATTTTGGAATTGCGTTTTCTATGAAACATTTGCTATGTTCGGACGCGATCCGTAGTGAGTGTGGATGTGGATGAAAGAAGTGATCAACACCCATACCTACACCCGATATCGACACCCACACTCGAGTATTTTCCAGTAGCTTTGCCATATACTTTAATCTATGGGGTTCTCCAGTTGCAATATTGATGGTTACACTTGTTTTCGTGATTTTTTTTCTCCATGGACAAAATGTTAATTCATTATTCTTGGGACGAACAAACAACAAGGTTTTAAGTCAAATACTGAGTCAAATGAAGAGTGTCGATGTAGATGTTGTGTTTAAGATCGTCCACATCGTCACACCCGCACCCAATGTGTATGATAAAATCTTGTTCTTAGTTTTTTCTGTATCATGGTTCACTATTATTCAAAGAGAGAATTACAGAGAAAAAACATTACGCGAGTAATATTACGCCTTGTTAAATTGATGATACAGAGAAGTGAGTAGAATGATGCAGTAATTATAGAGTTAACAATATATGCAAACATATAGAAAGAATAAAACAACTGCATATTCAAGCAAGAAAAGGCAGTTCGATGATTATGATTTTCATCGATAGACTCATGTTTTTAACCATATTTGTCAATCTCTTCTCTGTAAAGTGTACAGTTATTGTTTTTTTTTCTTACTGATTCCACCGATCTTCCTCATTTCGATGACTAAGATAATTCAACATTATCTGTTTTCTTGAGTGTACATGGAATTTCAAAATGGTTATGAGAAAAAGAAAGAATATTATTTTTAGAAGACAATTATTATTTATTCAATAAGAATGATATTCAGAGATCTAATAAAGCAATCTCAATCGGAGATCATGAGTTTAAATTTGCAGTATTGAGGCACTTCTGATAAATACGTTGGCGTTGACTAGCTTTCATCCAGTCCTCAATAGATTCTTTACAAAAGCGTACGAGTTTTTTATCAGTCTGTTTATGGTTGCTTGAGGAAACAGCAGTTTGAGGAGTTCTTCGGCGATGACGAGTCCCTTTGAACAATCGATTGTAGCCGCAATTACTGTATTGACAATTTCGATGAATTCATTATTGATCTGTTCGGGCGAAGAACGAACAGCACCATTCCAAATTGATTGAATTAAATTGTGATAAATTCTACGATCCTCGTCGTCGATAGGATCATCCTAAAGGGATATAGGACCAGTCTTTTATGTAATGCAAAAGGCATGACTATTCAAAAGAATAATTGGTATAGTGATTCAGACATCATTGCACATGTTTGTATTATATGTCCATAAGTTAGCATACGAAAGCGTTTGAAAGGAACGAAAAGAATAAATTAACTCAATGACTTATAGTTTTGTCTGACTCTGTCCTCCTAAGTCATCAATCATCTATCAGCATGCATATATGTGTCAGACGATAATTGAAAATTAATGAATATCGTCTTACCATTGCCCATACGAGAACAAAGGGAGAAAAAATCGTATCTCTTTGAACATGGGTATATATACTCATGTTTTCCCATTGAAATTTCATCTCAGTTTTGGAATAAATTCTAATCCTCTTCTTTTCTATTTTAGGCTCATTTTCTTTAACCACGGCTTCAACAGCTCAAGCAAAATTATTTAAATAAAAATGAAGGTATTCCTTTAATTGTTTTTCCTCT